CGCCGCTGAAGAAGGCTCGCCGGGAGGAAGAGGAGGACATGGAGACGGGCAACGTGGCCAGCCTCATCAGCATCTTCGGCTCCAGCTTCTCGGGACTGCTCAGCAAAAAGCCCTCGGACGGCAGCCGGCCGCGGCGGAGGCGGCAGGAGGGGGGCGGCGCGGCGGCGGGGGCGGACTCGGAGCCCGGGCAGAACTGTTGCGACGAGGCGGTGCTCCGCAGCCTGAACCCGTGGAGCACGGCCATCGTGGCCTTCTGAACGCGCCTCGCCGGGCTCGGACGTCGTGGGGCGCCGCGGCCGCGGAGGCGCGGCGAGGACTGCCGGGCTTTTTCCGCGGTTCGAGCAGCGCTGGGCTTTCCGGACGGCTTTGGGCTGCTCGGGGGGAAGCGGGGGCTCTCCGCGCCCTGCCCTCTTCTCCGGGCGCCGTGGGGCGCTTTGCTGTGGGACTGGGTTTGGGGCAGCGGCCAGCCCCGCGGGGAAGCTTCTTCGGACCTCTTGGGGCTGCAGTTTCAGACTGCGCGAAAACGTTCTGGCTTGTCTCCAACTCGGTTAAGAACCCTGTGCGGAATTTCCCTTCTGCTTCTCCTTCCCTTCCATTGAAGTTTGTTGTGAAGGTCATACCTTTTTTTCTTGAGCAACCACGGAACACTTTGTTGCAAGCTTGGGGTGGCATTCGGGGCAAGGGAAGGAGGGCTTTCCCGAACGTTGTTACGGTGCGATGGCAGATGTGTTGGTGTGGCTTCGTGCGCCGATCTCCGGCTCCGTGTGCCCTGGGGCTTCAATGACACCCGGTCTTTGTTATATAAAGGCTCTTAAGTCTTCATGGTGATTCTGTACGTATTCTGTGTCCCCAGTTGCTGTGCTTTTGTATGGAAATATAACTTTGCATGTATGACACGTATTAAATGTTTGGACATTGGTAACGTGGGGTTTCTGCACTTCCCTGGTGCGGGAGGGTGCATGGATGCTTCCATTCGCTCGCCCTATTTGGCTGCGGGGGGGGGGCGGGGGTTGTGCAGGCGGCAGACCCTGAGTCATCCACTCGCTGCTAATCTTATCCCCAGGGCTGGGGAGATAATGCGAATTTTGCAGCAGAAGGCTACTGCTGAGCCCCTTTCCTGACCTGCCTCTGTGAAAGTGCGATGTTGCAGGTGAAAAAGCTTTTGTCTGGCAGCCCTAATTATGGATTGATGTTACGGTTGTGATGGGAAAGCCATGTGCGACCTTGGGAAGAAGCTGCCGCCTCCCCAACATCTGCCTGTAAAAAAACCCTGTGCACTCAAGAGCCGTAAAAAGCAAACAAAAGTCCCCTCGACTCTTAGACTTTGCTCCCTAGCCCTGCTCCCGATTCATCCCGAGGACTACTTTGGAAGATCGCTGCTGAGAGTAGTTCCCCCAAAGCCAGGTGTGGAGAGGGTATCCTGAGATGTGGGGTCCCTGGGGGGCTGGAAGTTCTGCTCCTAGTGGGGAGGTGTCAGCCTGGCTCCTAAAGTGCATCCTAAACTTAGCCAATCCAGGAACTCAGTTACCTGCCACCTGCAAGGGCTGATGTTGCTCCCTCCCTCCAGCATTTTCTGTGCCCACAGTCTGACCCCCACACTCACCCCTGGGTGCCTTGTCAGGCTCTGTTTCAGCCCCAGATCCTGGCTGGGTATTTGGGGTGTTGAAGGACTCCTGTCTGTCTAAATGTGCATAGGATTGCACCTAAGCAGCTGTTCCCGGAAAAAGGGGATAATTGCTGAGACCTGAGTTGGTTTCCAGTGATGCAAGGACTTCTGGAGGGGTCCATCCTTCAGTTAATGTTGTGAACTGTGCTCTTTGGCAATCTCTTTTGTTATTTAAAACGTCTTGACATTCTAAGTGAAGTGTGTGTGGGCACACACACCTTCCCTGAAGCACACACTTTCCCGGGGGCCTGGTGGCCGCCAGTGTCAAAGCTGACATGCAGTTTATGGAATCCACGTGGTGCAAAAGAGCAGCTTGGATCCATCCCTTGCGTCTCGGGGCTTCTTGATGTGTCAGTCGTTGCTCCGAGGGCAGCGGTTACGTGGACGTCTTGCGCACTGCTGGTTCCATGTGCAAAGCCAAAGAGCAACACCCCTAGCCAGGCCCTGTGTACATTTCCTCTCACTCGCAGCTTCTGAGGCTGTCAGTGTACATAAACTAGCTCTTTTTCCTGAGAGGCAAGGGGAAGGAGGGGGAGCTGAGGCCAGAAAGCCTGGTTACTCGTAGCAAAGCTTTCCTCTTCTCAGGATGAGGCGAGGAATTCCCAGCATGGGAGCTGGTGATCTCGTATCTCCACTGAGGCATTACAGGCTTCTCACAACTATTAAGCCTAGCGAGTAACTGGCAGCGTTTGCTGCTAGTGCTGGACGCTGGGAACCGTTCAGACTTAATTCCTTGCCATGATGTCTTCCGGTTAGGGATCCCGATGCACCCTTCCCTCCCACCTTGTATGCCTTTCCTGAACACAGCGAGAGTAAAATGAAAACCAAGGGTGAGCAAGTGAGGAAAATGAAGGGGAGCTGCTGGAGAAGCGAAGGGAGAGGAAACAGACTCGGGGATCCCAAGTGGTACAGGTCAGATCCTGTCAAACTTGAACCAGCATCACAGCTGCCTTTTCAGGGCTTGTGGGTTCAGTGGCTTTTGGATTACTTCGGACCTGCTCCAATGCCAGGGTGGCCCAAAGAGCAGGAATTCCAGGAGCTGTTCAGAGCAGGCTGGGAAAGACTGAAACATGAAAGGTGCAATCCTACGCAGAAAAAGACCAGCCCTATGCATAGGATTGCACCTGAAGAATGGAAGATGTGAAGGTGGAGCCCAGAATAAGGTTGATTTGCAGCTCCGTTTCCCTAGAAATCATGTTATGTGCTAATTTACGGTGCACTGCTAACCACTGTAGTAAGTTTCTACACTGAGTAACCACTGTAGTAAGTTTCCATGTTTCCGTGTGTTGGACTGGGGCAGTTTGGTGTGTCTGGTTATTCCCCCCCCTCCCCCCCCGCTAACCCAGTGGCTTGAGGAAAGGGTGATTTCTCTTGGGACAAAGGGGGAAGTTAAGAGCTCACTCTCTTACGGTGTTCGTCCCCTGCCCATCCACCACTGAAATCTTACAAAAATTAGGCGCATAAACTGTGTGGCTTTGTCTAGCTTGGCTCTGCAGCTCTTTCCCAAGTTCTTTACGTCCCAGCATGGAGTGCCAGATGTGTATTTTCCAGCTGTGTTTTCCTGTGTGGGACTGTGGTTAAAGGTGCAATGGAAGGCAAGACCTGCTGGGGAACCTTCATACCAGAAGAATTTCCAAGCTGCAGGGTGGTGTGTGAGAGGGGGAAAGGGGGTTAAGAAAACATTCAGAGTTTTTTTAATATCTGTGTCTGAACAAAGACACACACTTTCTTTAAAAGCTTTTGGGTAAAACATAAATGGATGCTTTAATTCACCCTAACTTGCATTGCTTTTCCAATCAGGTCCCAGGATAATTTTATAGGCCTTATTTTCATTTAGAGGGCAAGGTATACATTAAGATTAAAAATGGTTTGACAGCACCTGTTCTAATGAAAGCAACGCATTCTCTGGTGCCAACTGTGCTGGTGCTTCGTTTGTCCTGTTGCCCAAGCAGCCCAAGGAGCAGAGGAACTAAATAACTGAAGGTGATTCAGAAGATGAGCACTGCAGAAGTAGTACGTGATCCTGGAGAACACTGGCACACCATAGATGTAACCGAATCAGCTCCGTTGAGGAGTGTTTTTCTGGCATTGCTAGGACTTCAGATTGAGTTGTGTGGGTGGTGGGCGTTTTTGTGGTCAAAAAAACCATGATCATCGTTGAGCAACTAGTTTGGGACTGGGGGAGCTGATACAAGGACCCCATTCGGATGCTTCAGCCTCAGATCACACCTTGATTTCTCCTTGCCACCTGCCACGCTTTCTGGAGAGGTGAGAAGAAGGAAATGGCTTGCAGTGCAAACCCTCTCTAACATTGTATTTTATTCATGCGCTCTTTCAAAGTGGTGCAGAAAGGGCCTGCCAGCAGAAACCGCTCCTCCCTGGGGACACGCATGAGGTGGCACCTATTGACCTGGGCAGAGTTCGCTCTTGGGGGGCCTTATGCACAGTTGAACCATGTCCGTGAGAGCTGGGGCAGGGACTGGTGTTGCCTGCTAACAAAGCGCGTTTCTTGTGCAAGTGGGACTAAAAATAACCATGGGAAAGGTGGTGTCTCTCCTGTGGAACTACTGAGTAAGGCTGCTGAGGAAGTCAGATGCTCCACCCAGTAAGGAACAGTCAATAAAGGCCATTTGACTTGAATAGGTTGAGCGGTCTCTGTTGTGGCTATCCTGATTGTTTCTGTGCATACACTGAAAGAGGGAGAGTCTTACACCAAAGTAGGAGGAATGGACCACTGGCCAGTTTTGGATAGCAGCTTCTGTTAGTTGTGGCCCCCTGGGCCAGTGGGCAAGAATGGAAGGAACAGGAGCTTCAGGGAACTAGAGCAGACCAGGTTGGGTTGGGTGCAGAGGTGGACCATCTGGATGGGGCTGAATGAGGCAGTACCCGGTCAGGTGTCTGGGGAAGAGCGAACTCTCCAAAGCAACAGAAGCACATGGTCATCGTAGAATATTTCTAGCATGAAGAGCTCGGGGGCAGTTTTCTCAAGGTTAGTCAAAGGTCTTTGTGTAGGAGCAGAGCCTAGCACTTGGTCAGACTAGGTCAGAATTATGGGTGTTGTGATCCAGCACATTAGAAGGGCATCTGATTGGGGAAAGCTCTCCTAGATCCATACCCCTTACACTCCACTGTGTCTCCCTAGAAAACAAGGAATGTTTCAACAGCTACAGTACTAAAATAAAATAGTTGCATTTATAACATGGAGCTGGGGATGCTGGGAACTGTAGCACAAGATCTGAAGGACACCATCTGGACAGGGAATGGTAGTTCTTTGGATGTTTTAGACTTCAGCTTCCAGCATTGCTAACCACTGCCCGTGCCGGCAGGGCATTCTGGGAGTTGAAGTCCCAACCGTCTGGCACACAGTCCTCTGCCCATCTCTGCTGTGAGATCACCATTGTGGACACGGCAGGCCAAGATCACGAAAGAACCATTTAGACACACGTGATCCAGGCTGCTCCCCCTCTGAATGGAAGCCGAATCAATTCCATTGAATTGCATCTGATCACTTTAAAAAAATGAATGAATGAGGGATCCTAAACTGCAACGGTTCTGAATGAAAAATAATAAACATCTGGCCATCAATCCAAA